TGGTTATTGAACATAGCTATGGCAAATCACCATCATGGTTCTTTATTTAGGTAAAGCATCCACACATGTCACATTTTCCATCTGCCACAAGGTTGGAGCCGCTGGAACACTGACCTGCCACAGGCGGAGGCACGTGTCCTCCTACGATGGCTGGAGGCACGGGGTGAGATGGATTTTGACTGAAAATGTTGGGTATATTCCCAATGAAATAGCCATTTCATAGGGATAATGATCAGCAAAACCATTGGGTTTAGGGGTACACGACATTTTCAGACACACCCAGATGGATTTTACTGAGATTTGATCGGATTGGCTTGGGATTCGATAGGATCTTGATGGGTTTCAGGGAGATTTTCACAAGATGGGTGCGGGTACGGGTCAGAATTTGAAGCATGGAGATGCATAATTTCTGTCTCGAGTGAAGAAATCCACTGTGTGTGGTATTTTAATTTTGACGCATACTGTACCTGTTGGGCACTGTAGGGGGATAGAGCTACTCTATGGGGATCTCACTGCGGATGTGTTTTTTTTTCATTTGTTGGAGGAGGGGGCTAATTGTTGCAGTTGTTCGGGTTTTATGATGCGTCCTGTTGGGATTTTTGATGTTCATATGTCCTTTCCACGTTCCTACACGCTTCCCCCCTCACGTCAAACATGATCAAACATGTATAACAACCCCCAAAAAAGATAGAACAGTAAAATCCTACTAGGACTAGGATGGTGACGAATTACTTTCCTATCATTTTCTATCTTTTTTTGGTGGTTATATATATACTATACATATATGGGATCCAAAAATGAACAGATCCAGCACTAAGGCCCGAGCCAGAGCAGCTTCCAACCTGGGTTTGGCTTGGAGCTTGGAAGAATGGCTTGAAGAAACAGTAATTTGGTAGATGCAGATGGCATAAGCCAACCAAATTTGGGGGATTGGTGGGATTTCACTCATCAACCTGGAGACTTAGCCAAGAAAACCAGACAATTTAACGAATCAACATGAGGTTGTCAACCAATCAAACATTGGTAAAGTACTGTCTATGCTTGGAGCAACAAACGTCGATTCTTTTTTAAAACCAGTGCTATGAACTGGGAATCCTGCGCTTGACCAAGCAGTACGAGGAGGTGACGCCAATAAGTGACCTCAAGAAACGTGGAGGTTCACCGGGCATGGAACCCTACAAAGTACCCTACTACTTCACATCTAAAAAAAAGCAGGCGACAGATACTACCCCATTTCTCAATGAGACAAGCAATTCTTATGATTCTTGATCCATTTTCATCCATTTTCCATAATTGTTGACTATTGGCAATTCATGGCAATTCGCTGCGATTTCAGGTCTGTCCGCCTTTGAGATCCGCCCTCAATGGGCTTTCTGCGGAACTGAGCTTGCGAATGGGTGCGCATGAACGGAGCAGTTGCACATGTTGGGATCATTTCGGTGAGGGCAAAACTATTTTTTTTTGGGGAGAACTAGGTAACATGCCACAACACAACATCACATTCTGGGATCCATGTATAAAAATGAATGTCAATGTCTCTTTGACCGCCAAGCCCTCCTGCCACGGATGCTTGCCTTCTGCTGCTTCTTGTCTTGGAAAACAATGCAGGTAGGATCTAAGGCCCCCTGTTCGGACAAACCCACATGGGAAAAAATGCTTACTGCATCAACAAAGATAGCAAACTATATAAATCAGATTCAGTCACCACTGATGGGATTATGCATATAGAAGTTTCTTTGTATGATGGAATCTTCAGCCACATCTCATCTCCCAATTTCCCACTCAATCTATCCAGGTTCGTCATGTTGCAGAACACATTAATACATTTTTCCCCAACAGCGTAAGCTAATGGGGTCTTCAGCCGAGAATAGCTCCGCTGTGCGCTGGTGCAGGCGCTGGGTCAGGCTCAACGAGGTTCCGGAGAAGGTTCCGGAGAAGGTTCCAGGAAGCCTTGGTGCAAAGCCAAGTCAGGTCCACAGGGTTCCGGAGAACGTTCCGGAGAAGGTCGGGGAGGCTTTGGTGCAGAGCCAGGTCAAGTTCAACAGGGTACCGGAGAAGGTTCCAGAGAAGGTTCCGGAGAAGGTCTGGGAGGCTTTGGTGCAGAGCTAGGTCAGGTTCAACAGGGTTCCGGAGAAGGTTCCGGAGAAGGTCGGGGAGGCTTTGGTGCAGAGCCAGGTCAGGTTCAACAGGGTACCGTAGAAGGTTCCGGAGAAGATTCCGGAGAAGGTCTGGGAAGCTTTGGTGCAGAGGCAGGTCAGGTTCAACAGGGTTCCGAAGAAGGCGCCAGAGAAGGTCTGGGAGGCTTTAGTGCAGGCAGGTCGGGTTCAACAGGGTTCCGGAGAAGGCTCCGGAGAAGCACCACTCGAGATCAATATTTTTTGGATGCTTTTGGTTTCCACCAGATATGGCTATTTTAATCTATTTCATACATTTTTTTTACATGTTTATACTGTTTTCATACGGAGAATTATAGTTTACTTGTGGATTTAGTGGTTTTCCTTGCTTTGCCCTTTTCAGAGGTGCTCATTTGCGTCGACTGGTGGCTTCATTGCTGGTTTCTGAACTCGGGGAGTCGCAGCCTGAGTGCTGCAGTTAGAGTTCATGGTTTGGAATTGTTGGACATGTTGGAAGGGAATCGGCTTTTTACGGTGTCCAAGCAAGGTTAATTGCCAGGCTGTCAAAAAATTAGGGACATCATTTTTTGGTAGCAACTTGTCATTTTCTGGAGGACGCCCTCTGAAGTGGTGTTGGTATGGATCAAAACCACAGTACACTGGCTCGCACACTTCTGTTCCCATCCCAAGAATGCACAGAGTACACCTTGTTCGGATGATGGTATTCCCGATTTAGGATCATTTAGGTGATGTTTCATTTTGACCCATAGCCACACAGTCTGTCTTGTTTTCGAAAGAAAAGGATGATTACCCCCAATTGACTCATATTTTTCAAGGGGTCGAAAAGCACACCACTGATGGAACTGGTGTGAACAAACCTTTTGGAGGGGTTTGCTTTGTTCATTTATTCTAGGGACAAACAAATCTGGTTCAGAAACGGTGTAGTTTGAGAGCGACCATTTTGTGTCAAACGTTGTCCCCAAATTTGGGTCATGTCTCGTTACTGTTATTATATCCCCTCAACGATTGCGCAGGTTCCCATTGTTGAATCAAACTTTGGGACATCAGCATCCCAATCTTTCCCAGCGATGCGCGGAAATTTCTGAGGCGCTTGCGCGGTGCCAGGGCTGCCAGAGTGTCGGTGGCGTCAGGGAAACTCAGTTAGGATGGTTTGTGTTACTCTTGAAGAAGGACGTGGTTCGCGCTGGCATGGTGGTTTTCACATGCTGAACACAAGCAGAGCATATAAATCTTTCTTTATATGCTGTATTTGGATGGTTAATGTTCTAATGATTTTGATATTTCTTCTATGAACTGGTTTGCCTCTTGCCTCTGGACCAAGCAGACGTCAAGGTCCAGTTTCGCCGAGAATGCCCGTCTCTCTGGTTCCGCGTCGCAGTCTTAGCATTGAGCGATGCACAGGATGCAGTGGTGTGCGAGGTTTTCAAGTCGCTACCAACTAGGGAATAAACATGGTGGCAAAGCTGATTGGAGTAATTTGGAGGAAAAGTTGACAAGGCGTTGACAATGATTCAGAATCCTGGAGCACAAGGTTGTGTTGTCCCCACCACGATCTTGCCTCCTGCTGTGTAAAATGCCCAAAAGTTCGCCATCAGGCCTGCGGCCAGCGTTGCAGTAAGCACTCTGTGCCAACCTCGGAGCCATGATGCATGAGGCAATCCCACCTCCTAATAACAGGAAGAAACTACAGCGGAACCGTTAGATAAGAACCGATTAAGAATTTTTCCAGCCTACCCTGGGGTTCTTAAGTGCTATAAGTGGAAAATATGGGAACTATGAACGAGGGTGCCCTCAAGTTCTTAACGGGTTAGTTCTTAAGGGGTTCATATGGCCAGGGTTTTGCAAATTCGTAGTAATTTCCCAATTTAGAATCATGTCGAAATAGTGACTCCGGAGCACGGGCTGACAAGCACACGCGCCAACACACGCTGAAAGGGATTTGCTGCTGCGCAGCCGTAGAAAAAAAAGGTCAAAACGTTAGATGCAAGGTTGGCAGACACCAAGACCAGAGAGTCAATAGCTCAGCTGGTAGAGCATCAGCCTAGGAAGTGGAAGGTTGGGAGAACAACTCCCACAGGTGGTCTTGCACTATGTGGAACATACATGGTTTGAGCTTTAGCTTTCCTTGAGTTTTCTTTATCTGCAGTACATGAGTTGGATGTTCCCGCTCCTGTTAAGGGGAAGAAGAAAGGCATCCGTCCAACCGTTTTTTTTTAAAAAATAATAATCAATATTTGATAATGTTTGGTATATTTATACCCGTTGAAGGGGAATAAGAACCAGCAGACTAGGGTTCTTTATTTCAAGTAGCTGACAGAAAGGGTCGAATCCAGCAATCCAGCCCCGGAAGTTCCTATTGCAATAGGTTCTTAAACATTGGTTTCACTGGACCCAAAAACGACTCTGAATAGATCTATGTGATCTTGCTGGGGGGATTGAGTATTACGGGGAATGCATGAGGTGCGTTGTATGAATGTAGTACAGACGTATGCATCCATGGGAGTTTACATTTGAAACATCCTGAAACCCAAGTGATCCCTATTTTGGATCGTATGAGTCAACCCCGTCGGGTATTTCGGTCTCTTGGGGTTGTGGTTTATATATATATATATATGTCATCTTCTGTGTACATGCCCAACATGTGTTTCTGGCGCTTTGCATTGATTCAAAATTCTCTATGCAAAACTCAGTGCAGCCCCACATGTCACAAGCCATCACTAAGGGAAAATGCCATCCCAAGTAGTCAGTACTCCTGCAAGATTTAGGTTTATGGAAGTTGGCGGCAGGAAAGTCAGCAGTGAACCTGGGCAAAAACATGCAAACGGTAACCTCCAAACTGGCTCAAGACTACAATCTCAGTAGACAATGAGTGGAACCCATGTGCCGGAAGAGGTGTCAAGTCAGCTAGGCTATACCCACCATGAGAATTCAGTCCCAAACGCGCCGATCCAAAAGGACGGCCTCAGTGGCGTGGATAGTGGCAGCCTGCATGAGATTCAAGTGACAGAAACCGATCGAACAGATGAAACAGATGTGGACCTTCATATCAAGGAGACCATGGAGATCATGGCTGAAGGCATGTCGCAGATGGAGGTGGTGAACCCTGAAGTCTTACGAGTGACACAGGCCTGCCGGGCTTTCGACCACTTCGCTGCGGCCTTGCGCAGTGGAACGAGTGGAAACCAGAGAGACTTCTACCACAAGAGTCGCAAGAGCCACAAGATCTCGACGTTTTGGAGCCATTCTTGGCATGGTGGGCATTGGAAGAAAATCAGCACGCTCATCATTTTTTACAACGGCACTGCGGCGGTGTCCTTGGGTATCATCAGTGGTGTTGTGGCAATGCTCCTCTTCCGTTTTGGAGTACTGCCAGGCTTTGAGACCACATACGAAGGTGACATGGTGAAGGCCTCCGTTTGGTCAATTTGTTCAGGGTTTCTAGTGACATGCTTGGTGACCATCTTCTGGCGGCCGCAGAGTCAAGTCTTCTTCGACCGAATCTGCATTAGCCAGACTGACAGTGACTTGAAAGTTCACGCAGTCTTTAGCCTCAGCGGCCTTCTGAGAAAAACTGACACACTGCTCATCCTGTGGGATCCAACATGGACAGAGAGGTTGTGGTGTCTCTTCGAGCTTGCCGCCTTCTTGCAGAGCAAAAAGAGCGGAAAACAGGCTTTGATGATTCGACCCATTTTTCTTGGGCCAGTTTCCATCGTGGTTTTCGTCACTTTTTTTGTTACTTTGTTGCCTGGCACCTTTTCACTGAATGACTCGCAAGAGACAGGCTACATGAGCAATGGCGCCGTCATGTTTGTGGGCCTTGCAACTATGTACCCTGCCGTGAGCGCCATACGAAACTATTTCCGAGAATTAGACACGATGAAACAGCAGTTGCTGTCGATCTCTTTCGATTCGACCCGCTGTGCATGCTGTAGCCTAGGCCATGTATACAACGGTGTGCCGGTACCCTGTGACCGGAAGATTGTGAAAGAATGTGTGAAGACTTGGTTTTGTAGTCTGCATGCTTTCGAGGCGACAGTACGTTCAGAGGTTTTGGAGGTTTTGAACCATGACCTCAGCGAAAAAGTCTTCAGTATTTGGTGGGTTCTGGGAGTGACTGCTCCGATCATCTTGGCTTTCATGGATCTCTCAGCCACCCAGGTCTCGGGGGGTCCAGCAACAGCTTTTGTGCTGCAGGGTCTGGTGATTTGGCTGCTGGCACTTCCAGCCACCAATGATCTCCTAATTTCTATTCCCTCGATCATGCGCGCAAGGCCTCAAAATCTGGCTTTGGAAGTGGTCAAGAATGCAGTGACATTGCTGCTCATGGCTTTACCTTTGGCAATGATTGTCGCTGTGCATGGGCTTGCCTATTCCTCTTTGATGCCGATTCCAGTCGGATCATTCGGTGATTTCAGGGAAATGGTTTATTTTGCATGCTTTTGTGGCTTTGTGCTAGTCCTTTCACTCTTCCATTACTTGCTTGGAGTTGGCCTGAAGGCTCTTAGGAAGTGGCCTGGCTGGTGAATCCACTGACCTGTCCACGTCGCAGTTTCACCAGGCCTCACAGGTCGAAAGCAGAAAAACCTATGCACTTGCTGACTTTTGTGATATGGGTTTGTCTGAAAATAGGGTATATTCCCAATTATAGCCATTTAATAGGGATAATGATCAGCAAAACCATTGGGTTTAGGGGTACAGTATTTTCAGACACACCCATATACTTGATGCACGTAGATCTATGTCAATCTATGGAACCCTAAACCAGATGGGCGGATTTATTAGGGATAGGGTGATTTGATTACGTGGTATGTAAGATCACGGGAGTATCTACCTGAAATATCCTGAAATTGAAACGATGAACCATCCATTATGAGTCAAAACCCAAACCTTCAAGACAATGGTCATTTGGATTCCTGGTGTAACAACATGTATGCCACCACTGCATATATTTAGATATCGCCCAATGTATGTTTCTGCCGGGAATGAGACGCTTGCCATCACTGAGCGAGAATGCCCTCCCAAGTGGTCAGAACTCCTGCTGTAGATTTTGGTTCATGGAAGTTGGTGGTGTGGGTAAAAAGATGCAAACAGCAGTACCCTCCAAAACAAGTTTTCCGCATCATTTCCCTTTGCCCCCTTTGATCAATGATGCTGGATATTGTCAGAGGCCTGTGGACTTCTTCACCTTCGTCAACTCGTGCTTGCTGGAATCTTGTTGATTTGGGTCCAAAAATCCACCACCCCACCGAGAGTCTGTTTTCAGAGTGGACTAGGGCATTCCACGCTTTGCAGGTACAATCCAAGATGAATTGAACATACCTCTGGAAAATACCCCAAATCCCTCCAACACCCCAAATGAACCGCATCCTTTCACAAACCCTCTTTAAGTGGCCAGGTGTATGCTCTAGGATTCTGTTTGATTTTTCTTAGATGTTACACCCACGTGTTTCCAAATACCTATAGGACCTATGGATCAATACCTATACATACCATTTTTTGGGGAATGAACATCCATAAATCCCAGCTATTTTGATGTGAACTACAGGGGTACAAGGTTTTGACACACTGCCATATATTGTTATTGTTCGTTACTGTGTGATGAAAAACTACAAAGACCAGCAAGTTCAATCCACTGGATCTCCAGCAGTGGTGTTCCGTTACCAGTTTCTCTCCTGTGGAAACCACCAAGGACAAGGACCAAGGCTCACCTACTTATGGCCTGTGTTGCTTACGTTCCGGGCTTGGCATTGTGACGTCTGGGTATGCTTCAAAATGGTTGATTTGAAACTCGATGATTACCCTCTGGTTAACAGAGATATGGATTTATTTGTGGCTTCCCATTTGGAAAATGAGCTTTTTAAATGGTGGCTTTTCCATATCTACATTAAATAGATATAAAATGATATAACTAGATTACATACATGCTAAAAATCACGAGTCATTTCCGCGTTGTCCTTTTTTGGGTGCCCCTTGACCCGCGGTGCAACACTTCAGCCAAAGCAAAATCCTTGAGGCGTTGCGAAGTTTGTCATCAAGGAGCTGCAGGAATGTTTGCGCGGCTGGCTATGGGCAACCCTACCGGAGGCGGAAGCTGGGAACATCAGCGAACGTCATGGAGCTGATTACCAGGGGGTAACCACAATACCACTCCGAATCGTGAGCAGTGCAGATGCATCATCAAAAGATATATCAGATATGGCTTTGTCCAAATCGCCAGTATACCCCCAAATGGCAAATTTAGCAACATGATGTGATAACCCAGGTTTCGGTTTCTGGGATACCAAATTTTCAAACCCAGCACATATGGCAATTTTAGATGTGAACATCCACAATTTTTTACAGGAAACCCGGTAGACCAGTTCCCCTTTCGTCGACCTTTCGTAGGTGCCCCGCGGCTGGAATGCGCGGCAGAATGATGGACTGCCGACGTTGCTCCGGAGGTGGCTCTAGGCTCAGGATCAACTTGGTGGTTTCTAAGTTGGTTTATAACTACAATAACTAGGGTTTATAGTAGTTATAACCATAGTTAGATGGGGTTATAAACCAACTTATAACTAGGGGGCCCCACATTGTAGATGTTTTTGGTGTACAACTGAACTTGGTCTGTTCAACTTTGGCGCGCAGTGAATGTTTGAAAAAAATGGGGTAGCCTGATGTAGCTCGAAAGCATGGGGATTTTCAGTTTCGCCTCAGTCCTTTGGGATTTTGAAGGTCTGAAGGTTCCAAGTTTAGTGAAGCGACCAACTGAATCTGTGAGGTTTTGGGGAGTGACTTTGTTGGCCAACGCCGCCGGGTCCTCAGCGGAAACGCCAAGTGCTTTTGGTGCAGATGGTGCAGGTGACTGGTTTTTAGTGCTTTGGAAAAATGAGGCTTATGAGATGGGTCATTAAATGTCCCCATTGAACATCACCCAACCAAAATCGGTATATGGTCATTAAATGGCTACTTTTTTAGGTGATGTCCAATATTCCCAAAATGGGACAGTTACCAACCCCTGTTATGAGATGGTTGGGTGGTTGCAAACTACTTATTCAACTTGTCAATCTTGTTACAGTCTTGTTATTTAATTTTATGCTGTTTTTTTTTACAATCCTAGCTGGATGATCTTTACTGGACATTACTGGACTATCATAATCTGTGATATGTGGGTTTTCATAAATGGGGGTACCCCTAAATCATCCATTTATCATTTATAGATGGAATTTCCATTATAAACCATCCATTTTGGGTACCCCCATTTATGGAAATCCCCATAGGTTTAAAATGTTTTGAAAGCACCAAGCAGGCAGGATTTTCGTCCAAAACCGGCCAGCTACTTGGATCCTGGGTCCCCAGGGTTTCCATAAAACCCACCAATTTTGGAGATTCAATAAAGAATATCATGGGCCATCATGGGGATACACATGATGAATTTTTTTCCAAAGGAATACGATAGATGGCTATGGGTCAATACCTATGAAAATACCATTTTTAGTGGGTTATTCACATCCATAAATCCCAGCTATGACTTGGGGTTCACCAGGGGTACCAGGGTTTTGACCCATCCCCAGATGTGAAAAATCGGCAGTCTGACGGAACCGTCAATGCTTGGATCCCCAAGATCCCGCCCGTCTGGCAGTTGCCGTCCTTCCAAAAGCAGTGTCAAGAGATTACTGTGGGAGTCTCAGTGCAGAAATCACCAGATGTAGGACCGGACATCAAATATGTCTGGATTTTGGTACATGTCTAGACATATAGATATATATCCACAATAAATAAATATATAGATAAGTAAATAGATACAAACATATTTTATAGATAAATAAATAAACAAACGAATAAATAATACATGAATAAACAAATAAATATATATATATATATGTATATATATATATATGTATATATATATATGTAATTTTTGGACATACCCAACGGATGGATATGGATATGGGGGTATTCCCAAGTCCAAGGAATTTAAAAGCATTGTTGTTCTGGTTTATTAGGCAATGTTTTGGGGTATCCGCATTTCTTTTGTTATGAAAAAATCAAATGGGTGTGGATCAAAATTCTAGACACCGGGACCGTGACCGGACATTTGGCAGGTACCGTATGAACCAATAAGCATGTTGGTTATCACTTTTTAACCCAGAATTTTGGCCAGAAACATGTTAATTTTACCATCAAAACTGGAGAATTCAACTCACCAAAATATGAGTCCTGGGTTGATAAGAATGCTCTATTTGCACGGTCCTGGGTGCAAAATATCTACCTCCAGTTGTTTGAAGTTGATCACTGTTGATCTACAAGCTATCTTGGAAAACCTGATATCGATTCCAATGGTGGACGACTTCCATGTCCGGTTCAGGCGCACTACTCTTTGGTTGGAAGAAAAGATGAGATGCATTCCGATGACGGCGAGGAGGCCAGATTTCTCGTTTGAAGAAAGTGGGTGGTGCAGGCCTCTGGTCGGATGATTGGGCACCCCTCCGACACATGGATGCTTCACCAAAAGCTTGATGCATTCACCCAGGATTCAAATCATAAGGTATGAAGCAACAAATCCATTAATTATTATAATATATTATAATTCCATTGTATAAACGCATTATACATGGTATATCATAGAGTTACCCCCGAACCTTGGAGGATTCCAGCTTGCCCGGAGCCCGCTACCCGTCCCTGCAGGAGTGTGCTGAGAGGGAAGATCTTGGGTCGGATCCAGTGCCCAAAGAGCCGTGAAGCCCAAGAAAAATCCAGATGGATCCAGGGGTAGCTTTCAGAGGCGATGCATCGTTGGGTCAGCTCGATCTGCTGGAAGCCAGCAGATCATCATTTTTAATGGAACTTGAGGGAATTTTTGAATTATCCACTTGGGTGAAAAGCTTTTGGTTGGCCAACACCCAACATTCGCCAAAGCTGTTCAATTCGTGGTTGTATACTTGTTAGAAAACGTCGAGAACACATGTATGTATGTGGATACACAAAATGATAGATTACTCCCACTGGAATGATGTTTAGTAAGTTGAATCATCGCCAAATGGCCTTATGTCAGGTTGCTGATTTGTATTTTTTCCACATTGATATGTCATATTCTGAGTTTGTTGACGACCTTCCAATTTCTTTGGTTCTCCTGCCATCTCTTGTGGGTTGAAAAAACCCAACATTTCAGGGGTCATTTTTGTGGGTTTCTCTGAAAATAGGGTGCCTAGGGTGCCCCGACATTCCCTGGTTTATCATTATTTTTCTCATGAAAATGGTGATTTGGTGGCTATACATTGGATATAGTTCGATATAGTGGATAGTACATCCCATGGACAAGACGTTCACTGATATCCCCAATTGAGATCAATTGAGCATCTCTTTCTGCCTGGTTAAGAACGAGATTCCCAGTTCATAGATTATGATCATACTATATTGATCTCTATATGTATATATATATATATCATATATCTATTGGCTAGTAGAATCCCAGCACCAATCACCAAGAGCGCCTGCCTTGAGGTGGCGCTTCGCGCGGGAAGAGCAAGACTTCGAAGCCATCCTGGAGGTGAATTGAACCAGCGAATGGGTGAAATGAGAAAACGACGGTCACAGCAACGTCACTACACAATAGTAAGGAGACCTACTGTTCCCAAATTTGCTGCTTTATTTCAGGTTTGTTAAATATCACAATTCAGCCAGATACAATTATGATACTTATCATATCTTATCATGATATATCTCAACGAATAGTTCAAATATGTTCAACATCATTTCATTAGAGTCATTTTTTAGATATTTCAAGAGGGCTTGGCAACGCCTGTAGATTTGGGAGTGGCTCAACAGAACAATTCTTCCCCAAAATGGATGAGTTTCTCACCGCACCAAACGCCAGGTTTCGCCAGGTGACTCAAAAATCATGTGACTCAAATTACCATGGTATCGGCATTGCATCCTCAGTAAATCCGCAGAAATTTGTGGACTACTAGACTACCTCCATTTTATTAGTTCATGATGTTCATGTGCTCAATAAAACTTCAATAAACCCAATGCCATAAAGCCCAAAAAATCATCACAAGAGACACCTTCTGGGTCAATTTTTGCCCGGAAAAAGAGGCCTTCTTGTGGGCCGCCTGCGATGTGGCCCTGGGCCCTTGGTTTGGGGACCTGAGGCGGTGGGTTCCCAGCAACAAAATTTCACGGTGTCATCATCCCTATTTTGAATGGTCATAAATGGGTGTAGCACATTTTCAGAATATGGAACAAAATGGAAAAAGAGGATTCAAATCAGGTTAAGGCGGTTTTTTGTGCATCTATCAAAAATCTGAACCATACCATAGAACCATACCATAGAACCATACCATAGAACCATACCACAATTGATGCAGAAGCCCTTCAACATCCTGGGCGCTATGGATGGCGCTTGCTGTCCGAGCCAAGGCGGCGAAAGGTGCTCAACCCCGGAACTGTGACCAGTCAGGCTGCACAAGGCTGACGACGGCTGTGGAACAAAAAATCGTGGTGGGGAGAGCTGGGATATCTATGGATATCTATGGGATATCTATGGATATCTATGGGATATCTATGGGATATCTATGGGATATCTATGGATATCTATGGGATATCTATGGATATCTATGGGATATCTATGGATATCTAATATCTATCACCCAAAAATGGATACCCTCCGGTAAATTTTCGATGGAAAAGCACCATTGAAAAAAGGGGCAAATCAACTCTATAAATGGTGATTTTCAATAGCTATGTTGAATCACCAAAGGGTACCTCAGAAAAAAATGAGGGTACCTCACAGAGGGTCGAAACCAATGGTCTGTGAGTGGGAAACCGGAAACCCATTGATTTTGAGATGAACAGTGACAGGGCAGGGTCCAGATGCCCGGCACGGCGCAGGTTCGTTGGTACCAAGCTTGAATCAGCTTCTGAACCCCAACTTGCAAGTCCTGAGATCTTGGTTGGTCCTGCCTGGCATGCTTCGATGCTGGCCAGCAAAGATAGCAAAGCCGTGCGAACTTGTTTCTGGGATCTGGTTCAGTATCCTTCCAGACTGAACCATCACCTTTCTGGAAGATGGCATTCCCAGTGAAAGTGAGCAGTTTCCACCTTTTTATGTTTTTTCGGCGAGATAAACCTCCACCTTTTTTGGGAACAACTGCTGGAATGCGGCTGTCTTTGCCAGGATCCCTCGCTCTTTGAGCGGCTCTTGACCAAGATCTTCTTGGCAGAAGACTCGGATCTGGGAAAGTCGTGATCATTTGGGACCCTCAGAAGCATTGTGCTTCCTTTGAACAACCGGGATTTTTAGAGGTTGACATCTGAATAAATTCTGAATATATGTGAAATCATATGAAATATCTGAGACACAACAGCCAGGGGCATTCAGCCAGGGGCAGCTGAGATTGCGAAGAGTCCTGAGGTTTGCATTGGCTGCTACATCCTGAAGCTCTCTTGCGGTTCCTGGCTCCAGGTCCCGAACTCGCTGGGGTCTCTCCGAACTGTGATGAATTGGATCCGCTGCCAGGGCATCCGCAGCCGAGATGATCAGGTGCACTTTCTGTCGCAGGCCACAGATTTGATGGATTGAAACACCGGCAATGGCTGATGATTGGGAAGAAACGATAACAGATACATATGCATTTGCATAATTTTGCAAATACACATGCATATACTTGTACACATACACATACACATACACACACATAGATAGATAGATAGATGGATGGATGGATGGATAGATAGATAGATAGATCGATGGATGGATGGATGGATGGATCGACAGACAGACAGACAGACAGACAGACAGATAGATAGTCCAGTATATCAAAGCTTTATTCTTTGATCGTTTCATATGCTTGGAGCTGCGCAGGAAGCGGTTGCCTTGTGCAACTACTTCGCTGGCATGTCCAAGAAGCCTCGCTTGGGACTCTCGGGTGGTGAAGCCTCCAGCGAGCAAAGATGCATGACACTTCTGAAACATATGGAACAATATGAAAAATCGACATCTTTTGACTTACAGTAGCTTAAGGCTTGGCTTACTCCCAACAGCAGTGCTTGTTGGCTTTCAACCTCTGGGTCTAAGGTGGGTCGTTGTTGTTCCCAAGCCTGAACAGCTGCATGACGTTTTCACTGGTTGAATCCCTAATCATGTTGCTTAAACCTACTTCTCACCTTTTTTTTGCTGGTTCAATCCTTATTGTTCATGGTAAAACTCGTATTTTTGACTGTCAACTCCCAATTTGTAGTGCTTAAATCCAAAGCAAAACTCCTCGCCCCTAGGTGAAGATTTGGATGATTACGGCCTCTGGGAACCTGGAAGGGTCTGAAATCCAGCTAGCGGTGGGTGGGACATGGTACGTGATTTTGAGGTGTAAAGCTATTCTATAATATATATATATAGATATATATATATATATGATATATATAATCTGATATATAATATATATATATATAGATAGATAGATATAGATAGATAGATAGATAGATAGATACGTGTAGATATATATATATACAGTATATAGTACCTCAACTGGATCAATAGTTATCCCTATCTATATCCGTATGTATTAATCTCTTTTTGTATGTCTATCTCTGATTTCTATCTCCACCTCCACAATCCATGAACTGCCGAGGTTCTCAATGTCTTGCACGCTGTTCTTCAGCTGCCAGGTGACAAGTGGAGGCTCCTAGACCGTTTTTTGGTGGCTTGTGAAATCTTGGGTGCGCGAGATATCTTGGGGAGATTGCTCATCACTTTTCAATGGGTTGAATATGAATAATTACACACACACTCTATATATATATAATCATATATATAAAATCATATATAGATAATATTTGTATAGGCATTGAGGATATATCCTGTGGTACTCGATTGTCGTTAACCTGGCTGATGCACCAGGTCTGGCGCCCGAAGGACCGGCAGCCCGGCGCAACCCAAACAGCCCGCGCAACGGAAAGCGTTGGGGTTCCCGGGGTCGTAGCGTTCGAAGCGTTGGAAGAGAATGGGATTGGCCAACATGCTGGAGTTTTTGTTTTTCCATTGAAATTGGTGACGTTAATAAATGGTCCAAACCAATGGTGAATGATGGTGAATGATGGTTAATGATGGTTAATAATTTATGGAACATTTTTATCAACCAGTTTTTTTTTGTTGCTCCCTTCTGGATCCTTCTGGTCTGTTTATGGTCCATTTGTTTTTGGCAGAAAGAACCACTTGCGAGTGGATTTCCATTCACGTGTTTGCTCTGACAAGCTGATAGGTCCACAAATCAACTTGATAAGCAGATGTCAGGTCAATTTCTTTCAATCAATATACAATCAATGGCCATTTGCCATCCAATTTTGTTGGGCCCCCAGTTTGGACCAAGTCCAGGCCTCTGCCATCAGACTGGAAGAGTCCCTTAGGCGAGCCCAGCTGTGCCAGTGACATTCGTCCGTTTTCGACCACTTAAAAGCCGTTTGTTGAATTTCAATCAATGTCAATCACTGGTCACTAATTGAACATTGAGACAGTTTACTTGTGATACCGTAGATCATAAGAAGGCTTTCATGAAGGCAGAAAGCCACGGATCAGACCTTTTTTCCCCTGAAAGACTTAATATTCGATGATTTTTCATGAATTCAAACTTCATATCATCTCGCGATCTCCTTATTTTCTGCTTTTTTTTTTTTCTGTTTAAAAACAAAAGTTGCTAGTCACAAAGCCCTCTTGTTCTCCCCTGGTCAAAGCTCTGGTCCTTTTGATCCCCAGGTTTTGAAGACGGCCTCGGGAAGTTGGTGTCCGTTCGGGGGACCCAGGTGACAGCCTTTGTTGTTGTTTTTTTTTTTTATCTCTATATTATATATATACATATATATATTATATTATATATATATTATATATATATATTATATATATATTATATATATATTTATGGAATCATGTTTTTTTGGTAGTTTCTTTCGGGATTTGGCTAACCAAACGCCAACTTCATGGGAATTTAACTAGTGACTTCAATGAGGTTTTTGGAGGTTTTTTGACGGTTAACCGGACGGTATGCTGGACATGTTCTAATTTAATCCATGGTCTTCTGCTCAGAAGAGATGTTTATGGTGTTCTTTGGGTTGCCCAATTTAAGTGAAGGGTCCATTTCGTTCGAACCAGGTTTTCTGCAGTGAAACCTTTCGTGCGGAAATCTTGCCCCACTAGTGTGAAACGTGTTTCCAATTTGTTCATTTGTTGCTTGTGATGGGCTGGGACATTCAAAGGCACCTTGGTCAGCCTTGGTCCCCTTCAATGTGGCTTAAATGTCTTGTTCTAATGGCTTTTTGAGACTTCTACACCTGTAACTCTGCTTCTACCAGGTTGAAGCAGTGTGCAAGAGCAGGGAGATGGCTTGGTTCCAAGGTGCTGTCAGATGGACCTTTGCCTCTGGACGAGGTGGGGGGATCATTGTGCCGAATGTGGAGCTCAGGTCACCTTTGCGGGGAACATGGCCTCTGGGGGGGTGTTCAGAATCTTCAGAGGTTTCGATCCTATGGCTCTGGGTCAAAAATAGCTTTTTCTTTTTTGCCGCATTTGGTATTAGATCATCATTTTCTGAGGGAGAATAGCCATGATTAAAGCCATCAATTTTGCTATTAGATCATCATCCCAATCATAGTTATAGGCGGTTTTTTGGCTTTTTCGGGGTTACATTCCAGCTTATGGGGCCAAGCGTTTTGACCCATCCGCCGAAGAAAAAAAAGGTCCTGAACTGGTTCACCGACATTGATCTGCCATGCTCGACGCCCTTCCAGGACTGATCTGATCTGATCTGCGATGGCGGTGCAGATAAGTTTCATCGACCTTCCAAAACCCATTGTATAAATAAATAAATAAATATATATATATTATTTAACCAATCAGCTAGATATATATATATATATAGCAGCAGCTATATATCATATTATATCATCCAACATCAACTGAGATTCATGTGTGTCTCAAAATAGATCCTTTGGATCAGCAATTTTTGAAGCTGGACACAGGACCTGCCTCGAGCAGTTCCTGCGGGTGGATTGTACACCGGCGACACCGATGTCAGGCAGTCACGGGTGGTCCGGAAGTTGGGGGTACCCGATTTTCAGGAAGACATGGCAGCCATAGAATCTGGTAAATCCCCCAAAAAAATATGAGAAAACTATAGAAAACTCGTCCCACCTGCCCAACTTGTATGAAATTGTTGTATGTTAAGGACTTGTGGCGAGATCACATTGTTACATCACAAAACATCATTGTGTTACCCCTCATTGTTGCTTCCATCCACAAAACTAGTATATCGGTTGTCTATCCGCGATGTCTAATGTTAGGGCGATGGGATTCATCCATTTATATCCATTATCACCATTATCACCATGATTTTTTCCATGATGACTGGGAAATACTGGGAATATCATGGATGAGAATGGTAAATTTGGATAAATTTGGCATATTTTGGCATCATTTACTCCACTTTTGACCCAAGCAGAATGACCAGCCTCAGCCCTGGAGGCGCCGCACCAGCCGTTCCTCCTCGATGCTGAGCTTCTCAGGTCGCCTCGAGCGTGGCCGGCGGGCCTCGGGGTCCGGCATCCCATGGGGGTACCCTCTGATCATCCCAGGGATGGCTTCCGTATATCGTAAGTGGATACCAGGTTACCATAGAAAGATATAGAAAACACATGAACAAAAATAACAAAACATGGGTTTCCCATAAAACAAAAGATGAAACACAACCATGAAAAAAAACATGAAGTTGGTTCATAGATGGGAGAAACTACTTGGGGAACTTACGGTCATCGGGATTAACCACTTACGATCCGTGGGATGACCCTTCAACTAATCAAATTTGGCTGGTTGGGAAACCCTCAAACTAAATCCATTCAATGGAGGGTTGAGTGGAAAATTACTCTTTGTAGACGGGGCATTTTCCCACAACCCATGGTTGATTACCGGAGGGTATACAGTGTTATACCCCTACAATTGCTATTTAATAATGAACATGATGATCAACTAGGGGTAAACTAGGGTAAACTATTTTCAGACAAAGCTATACTTAGCAACCGATTGACAAAGCGATTCCGCCTTCCATATCCTTTTATCATCTTTTCTCGGAAGCACTCCCCCAGAAGCCATGGTTTAGTATTGGATCGAAGCATTTTCAGGGGTACACATGGGTCAATCGAATCAGAATTCAGGATTTCTGGCTGCCACAGGAATCGATTGATAGGATTCAACACCAACATTCCTATTGGGATGTACCATGAAGCCTGGCAGCCATTGGCTGCACCTGAGGTCCAGTTGTGAAGACGACAACCACTCTCCTCCAGGATTCAGGGTGGATGAGATTGGGGCTCCCAACCATGAATTTCTTCCCTTCCCAGCCTTCTCATGAACTTTTTTGGAATCCTGGAATTGTTGAGGGGAACATCTAGAGGAACCCAAGATATTTTGGAATCTGCGGTATTCTGCGGTATTCTGCGGTATCTAAATCAATCCATTGAACCCCACACGGTTTGGACACCCAGCGTCACGTTGAGCAAATCAAAGCCGCCACAGGATTCGCACTGCAAAATCTTGGCGGGTCCTGTCCTTAAAGATGATGTCCGACGCGCTGATGACTGTTGATGTTTGAGTTTGTTGTATTGACACACATATGTATATAATATAATATATATATAATTATATAATATAAGCATGCTGCTCATATGTATATATATATGTATATATATATATATGTATGTATATATATATATGTATGTATGTATATATATATATATATGTATATATATATATATGTATGTATATATATATATGTATATATATATATATGTATATATATATATGTAACACATATGTAATATGGCTATAGATCTATGGAGTTTGGGCCACAGTCAATAGCCACGTCTGAGATCAAATGGTGGCATCTCTCTTTTTGGTCAGGCACAGGGGAAAGGTTTTCGGTTTTCGGTGGGAATCAAGAGATCCAAAGGATCCAAAGGGCTTGTCATGGCACGTAAAGACATTCCAACTGGGTTGATGTAAGGGAAACTTTACAGCAAACCATGCTTTGACCCATGAAAACAAGAGGTGGTGTTCAAGGAAATTGCGCTTCATCTGAATTCTTTACACATTTTTTCTAGCAGTATTTTTTTGTCCAGGATAGCTGGAATACTTCTGTAAAGAATGATAATTCCGAATGATCATCCTATTAGTATTTTTTTTCCCAGGATAGCTATCCTATGATAATTCCTATGATAATACCAACTTTTTCTGGATGCCTTGGTTCCACTGTTCCACTGGTTTTCGCCAGGCGGCCCGAAGAGACTCTGGGGACCATGGAAGCTTGTGCGGAGACCGAGGGGCCATAAACTACCCATGACTGGGCATGGTAACATGGTAACCATACCACCTATAAAAATGGTGATGACAGGGGGATGGTAACCATGATTGTTTTAACCACATTACTATTCTAGCAACATAGATTTTGGATCCTTGGTATAAGCGGGACCCCCCACCTAAATCAAATTCCCAAGGGTTTCTTGCGCTGTGTGTGGGCCTGACCTTTGCCGATACCCAGTGCAACATCTGAGGTTGATGGGTAACCATGAGGTGGGACGATTGGTTTGTGGGACTGTCAGGGACAATTTGCACACCATGGGAGGAGGAAATCGATCCAAATGTCAGGGGTCAAATCAGGAATCTTCACCCTGAAATTCATGAGACACTTGGATTCCCTGAAAAAATGGGGACACTGGGGACATCAACCATATATAAACCCAAAATCCACCATGGACCCCTGCAGGCATCGGAACCCAAGGCGTCCACAGCTTTGGACAACCGAGACGCCATTGGCCTAGCGTCTGAAGGTGGGACTGGTGTGGACTGGTGCAGTTGTGCCCAAGAGATACACATCTGTACTGTATTCTATTATAGGAATATAATATATATATATATATACTCTCTGGTTATTTAACATAGCCACGGTATAGATGGCTCATAGAAATAGAACTTAAAGATGGTGATTTTCCATGGCTATGTTAAATAACCAGATGGTATAATGTGGTAAACCCAATAATCAACCTACTATTTGGGGATAGTTTATAGGACCCATGGACAAATGAACATGGCGATGACTTTTTGATGGTTTATTTTTGGGTATACCACATTACATATATCATACCGAACATCAGATAACCAATGGGAATGGTCGATTCTAAATATAATATGTATGCAGCAACACATAAATATAATGACATGATATAGAGATAGAGTACATACTATACACTGCATACCAATGAGTATGTGTATACATATATATATATGTATGTATGTATGTATGTATATATATATAGAGTATATATATATATTATGTAGTATATATATGTAATATAGAGTATATATATATATCTAATAATATACATATATAATATAGTATGTACATTATATATATATACATATATATATATACAGTGTACATAAGTATAACTATAACTATATATATATATCATATCATAGTCGTGAGGGTGCATCGGTTTCTCCAAAGCATGGCTCCAGGCGCTGTCTGTGACCTGCGGATCGAGCAGGACGGTGCCTATGGGGCCTTCTGCCAAGTCTTCAGCAGCCTAGAGGTGGGGCCTGGAAACGATGGCAGGGCCATATGAAGCAATACATCAATAGATCACAGATAAACACACTTGAACACACTTATATACATATACACATAGATATACACATACAGATGACATATATATATAGTTGTACTTCAAACACTTTCTTTCTTGGATATCCGAGATGAGCCAGGTGATGTTGGTCTATAAGTCTATAACAATCGATGGCGATCTCTTTTTTCGACCCCCAATTACCCAGCAGTGGGTTGGGGGAACTTCTGCGGTCAAAGAGTTGGTGGGGACCCAAATGGGATGCCAATTATCACTTATGATCCATCAATTATCCCTTAAACATTTTAATCCTCCATCAATGAATCAATTATCCACTAATTATTCATCATATGATCCGTCAATTATCATCAATTGTCCATCATTATTGTTGTTTGAACCCCCACTTTTGCTCCATATCCGTGCAGGACGTGCCATCGACATCGGAAGACCATCCACGGCTACGCTGGGTGCATTTGGTGAAGGCACAACGTCCGGCGGCCGGGGGCGGTTGTTGGTTGTTGGGTTGAAAGCGGCTACGTACCATATATATACTGTACATACATACATGCATGCATGCATGCATGCCTGCCTACCTACCTACCTACCTACCTACATACATACATACATACATACATGCCTGACTAAAAAAGGCCACCAGAGTAGCCTATCACCCAACTATGTTGTGCCATTCAGCCGCAACCGTCAGGCCAGTCCAGATGCATCTCCGGAGTTCAGAGCTCCATACTTCCAAATCTTGGAGTTTCAGCCCTCGGCCCTGCAGGCGATGTTTATCACACGCTTTTTCCCCAGTTGAAATGGCGACGCAAATTGGGGAAGAGATCTACTCAGATCCGTAAATTGACATGGATATGGACAGCCCACGATGAATGTAGATCGTGCTTCCCATGCTTTTTCTGTATGAATGCAAGTTTAGCATAGTTTAACGCAGGGTACAATCCCATTTTTCCATTGTTCATTGGTTAAATCCGTATTTTGATTTTGTAACCCATAATTTTTGATGGTTAAAACTTAACTTAGAACCATAGTTTTCCTATGTTTTCATGGTTAAATCCATATTTTGATGCTTAAATCCCATCAATGTCCTCCAGATCTACCCCTTCGCGCAGGTGGCACATCCGCAGAGCTATAGCGCAGTGGTTTCATTGCCACTTTCCAAGCTCAAGGAGGCTGTGACGGCCATGATCATTTGGGAATGGGTCAAAATTGAAGGCCCAAAATGGAGAGATGTTCATTTTAGGATATTTTAGGGGCATCTAATGTTTGACCCAGGATCAATTGGATATACTTGGATTGGATCTGGATTGAGGGTTTGAACCTTCGGACACGTTTTGCTTTTGGCCCGAAAAAACCTAGTGTTTCGACCCCCGTTTTTCCTGCCCCAAACCATGGTGGGGCCCAGATGACCTTTGTTCTTTAGAGGGTAACGCCCTTCCCTTTGATGGGTCCTGTCCTGCAAAAAAAGGGGGGTCACCAGTGGGTTCTAGATGTGTATCTATCTGTCTGTCTGTCTGTCTTCTATCCTTCTATCTATCTGTCTATCTATCTATCTACCTATCTACCTACCTACCTATCTATTTATCTATCTATCTATCTATCTTTCTTTCTTTCTTATCTAATCTTATCTTATCCTATCTTATCTATCTTATCTCATCTATCTTATCTTATCTATCTTATTTTATCTATCTTATCTATCTTATATATCTTATCTTATCTATCTTATCTTATCTATCTTATCTTATCTATCTTATCTATCTTACTTATCTGATCTATCTTACTGATCTTACCTATCTTATCTATCTTATGCATCTTATCTATCTTATCTATCTTATCTATCTTATCTATCTTATGTATCTTATGTATCTTATCTATCTTATCTATTTAATCTATCTAATCTATCTAATCGATCTAATCGATCTAATCTATCTAATCTATCTAATCTATCTAATTTATCTCATCTATCTATCTAATCTAATCTAAACTATGTATCTAATCTAATCTATGTACCTAATCTAATCTATGTATCTCATCTAATCTATGTATCTAATCTAATCTATGTAACTAATCTAATCTAATCTACTCTACTCTAATCTAATCTAATCTAATCTATGTATCTAACCTAATCTATGTATCTAATCTAATCTATGTATCTAATCTAATCTAATCTAACCTAATCTATGTATCTAATCTAATTTATGTATCTACTCTAATCTTTTAATCTATTTAATCTATTTAATCTATTTAATCTATTTAATCTATTTAATCTATTTAATCTATTTAATCTATTTAATCAATCTAATCTATTTATCTATCTATCTACCTATCTACCTATCTATCTATCTATCTATCTATCTATCTATCTATCCACCAATCTTTCTATTTATCTATCTATCTATCTATCTATCTATCTCTATATATTTATGTATCTATCTATCTATCTAATCTAATCTAATCTAATCTAATCTATATAATCTAACCTAACCTAATCTATGTAATCTATCTATCTATCTATCTATCTATCAATCTATCTATCTATCTATCTAGCCAGCTAGCCAGCTATCTATCTATCTATCTATCTATCTATTTATCCATCTATCTATCTATCACTATCACTATCACTATCACTATCACTATCACTATCACTATCACTATCACTATCACTATCACTATCACTATCACTATCACTATCACTATCACTATCACTATCACTATCCTATCACTATCACTATCACTATCACTATCACTATCACTATCACTATCACTATCACTATCACTATCACTATCACGATCTATCTATCTATGTATCCAATATATTCTATGTATCCAATATATTCTATGTATCTAATCTAATCTATTTAATCTATTTAATCTATTTAATCTATTTGATCTATTTAATCTATTTAATCTATTTAATCTATTTAATCTATTTAATCTATTTAATCTATTTAATCTATTTAATCTATTTAATCTATTTAATCTATTTAATCTATCTATCTATCTGCCTATTTATCTACCTATCTATCTACCTATCTACCTATCTATCTACCTACCTATCTATCGATCTATCGATCTATCTATCTATCTATCTATCTACCTACCTACCTACCTAATCTATCTATCTATCTATCAATCTATCTATCTATCTATCAATCTATCTATCTATCTAGCTAGCTATCTATCTAGCTATCTATCTATCTATCTATCTACCTACCTACCTACCTAATCTATCTATCTATCACTATCTATCTATCATTATCTATCTATCATTATCTATCTATCATTATCTATCTATCATTATCTATCTATCATTACCTATCTATCATTATCTATCTATCATTATCTATCTATCATTATCTATCTATCATCATCTATTGTTCATTATCTATCTATCATTATCTATCTATCATTATCTATCTATCATTACCTATCTATCATTATCTATCTATCATTATCTATCTATCATTATCTATCTATCATTATCTATCTATCATTGTCTATCTATCATTATCTATCTATCATTATCTATCTATCATTATCTATCTATCATTATCTATCTATCATTATCTATCTATCATTATCTATCTATGTAGCTTTTTGTACACAATATAAATATATATATATATTCTACATAATACTTATACATACCAGCACAAGGCGGTGGCAGAAGTGTCAAAGATAGGAAGCTATAGGAGAGGTGAGTTGTTATGCATGGATGGCAGAGCGTACTCACTGATGGATCGAATGGTGGTTGAGGCTCTGAGTCCGTGTGACTCTCTCTCTCTCTCTCTCTCCCCCTCTCTCTCCCCAACTCTCTCTGTCACCTTCTCTCTGTGTCGCTCTATCTTTCCCTCTGTCTATGTGTCTATGTGTCTATGTGTCTATGTGTCTATGTGTCTATGTGTCTATGTGTCTATGTGTCTATGTGTCTATGTGTTATGTGTCTATGTGTCTATCTGTCTGTCTGTCTGCCTATCTATCTGTCTATCTGTCTGTCTATCTATCTATCTGTCTGTCTATCTATCTATCTACCTATCTATCTATCTATCTATCCATCTATCTATCTATCTATCTATCTTTCTTATCTATCTTATCTATCTTATCTATCTTATCTATCTTATCTATCTAATCTATCTAATCTATCTATCTAATCTATCTAATCTATCTAATCTATCTAATCTATCTAATCTATCTAATCTATCTATCTATCTATCTACCTATCTATCTATCCATCGCTATCGCTATCGCTGTCGCTGTCGCTATCGCTATCCCTATCTCTATCGCTATCGCCATCATTATCACTAGTGTAGTGGTAGTTGTAGTGTAGTGAAGTTGTAGTTGTAGTTGTAGTGTAGTCCAGATCCTCTTCAAACGTCCCACGCTTGCCATTGTTTTAGCAACTGCCACAAAACCTTCTCGTTTTGTTGCGCCTGCCACCCAAAAATGACAGTTGAATTCCAAAAGTGGTCCTGACATGGTGTTTTATCATTTTGACTTCGACATGTTCTTCGCGCCACAACTCTCAACTTCCAAAAGTGGTCCGAACAATGTGTGTTTTTTACATTTTGTCTTCGAAATGTGCTTCGCGCCTTCGCGCCACAACGGCGTGCAGGCGCGCATTTTTTCGACATCTCAACTTCCAAAAGTGCGGATGTGAGGTGTCTTTTGCTTTCTCACTTCAAAATGTGCTTCGCCCACAGCAGCGCGCAATTTTTGATCTCTCATCCCGCCAGATGGCTCCGCACCCGCCGCTTTCTGCGAGCTTACTTTTCGACCCTCCGGAGCCCCAACAACATTGGGTGTTTCGCGACTTTTCTACCGTTGTGCGCGCGTTGATCTTCTTTCTTCTTCCTTTCTCTTTTCTGATCTTTTTTTTCTGACCCTCCTCTAACTCTTCCCACCTCTGTTTGCTGCACCTGTCCATATTGTAGGAAGTTTGACTTCTAAACACTTCTAAACTACCTTCGATGAGATATGGATACGCATTATACACATATTTTCTAGTAAGAGATCCACACTTTTTCCAGGTGTTGCAGATGAGTGCCACCTCCATGGGGCTAGTTTTCGAAGGGACTGGAGGTCGACCAATGCCACGGTGCGCACCGCAGTTTTGGGTTCGGGGGTGATGAGTCGCTAAGTACTGCTTGTGCTATGTTAGTAGAATTGTAGAATGGTCAAATAAACCATGAAATTAATTGTATAAAATTGTAGGGGTATAGAATTTCGAATGATGGTGAGCTGTCTGAATGTTCTCGATTTGTGGTAAAATTGTAGAATGAAACTTGATGTTTCTGCTGCCTTTGATGGGAACTTGGAATCAATTTGTTGAACTGAAATCAATTTTTGTGGGTCAACCTGGGTCTGTCTGGAGATGGGGTATGCCCCAAATTGGCAAGTTTAACGAAGGAAATGATGATGAACCTGAGAACAAGTAAGGTTTTTGGGTACCTTATGTTATTTTTGATAGATTTTTTGAATCACCAAACATAGTTCACCATGAAATCAAGAGTGATCATGCTCAGAAATGGGAGCACGGACACGGGAGTCAAGGGTGAATTAGCTCCTGCCCCCAAAGTTCGTACCCCCAGATCTAAATGGAAAACTGATCCTGTAATGACCCTATGTTTTCCAACCTTGTCAAAACTGAGAAGGTTTACTCTGGGAAAGGGATGTTTGTTTAATAAGGCTTATTAATAAAGGTTCCATGAATGAGCCTGTGGGCGCTAGCAAGACTTCAAATGGATCAAACCCAAATGATATGGGGTTCTTCATCACCTGCAAAAGGCATTGCTCTTGGGA